CAGGAGCCGGGTTTTAATTATTTTTTTTTAACGCTTCTTTCATAACATCAACAATTCATTAATTATTATTTGCCTATTCATTTGGCTATATTTTCTTTTCTGTTGCTTCCTTTTGTTTAACATTGATCATGTTTCACCCTGTTTTTCATTCCCCCCTGCCTGCAATCAACTTCTTCATTCCAATAAGGCTGGGCACAGAGTAAGTTTACTCCTCTTGGCTGTTGCTAACACTGGTGGTAAGGCCTTGTTAATGTTACTAGATGATATGAATGTCACATGGTACATATGAATTAGGGGCTGCTGTTCAAACCACGCTCAAGATTGCACCTAAATTTGTAGTAAAAGCCAGATGTTGTAACATTCTTTGCCACTATTTTATGCTGCAGATACCTGTGATGATTAAACACCCTTCAGTGCTTTTAATTTCTTTTTGTTGTTGTAGCTTGCCAAGCGTTTCTTTAATTAACAGGAGCTCAAATGTAATTTTGGGGAAAATATGAGGCCTGTGAGTTTGTCAGCAAAGGCAATGGTCTTTGTTGAATGCACACGCTCTGCTGATTTCAGTAGGGTTATGTGTTTTAAGTGGAGTAAAATTTTATTAAATGTTAAATACATAACTGGTGTTGCATGTCTAAGTCCCTTAAGCATCAGTAAGAGAATCTTATTTATTGCCCCTTTAATAATCAAAATTACTTGTTACCCATTTTTTACTTGCATTCAAGTATTGCATCTCTAGACTGATGCTCAGAAGGACATTCTTCACTGGGAAATCTTGAAAGACTATCTAAAATGTGTCTTTTTTTTCTTTTCCTCTCCTGGGTTTTAAATTGGTAGCTCATTGATTAAAAAACTCTTGTATTGCTTTACTGATACTTTCAACCATCTGTTCTCCAAAGATGCATGGCTTTCATGATGGCCCTGAGACATTCTTAATCTAAAAAACCCAAACAAAACAAAAAAGACCCAAACAAAAAAGCTACCCAAGTCCCCTCTGCCTTTTTTGATGACTGTTAGCGTGAAGATAGCTGCATGGCCTGAAACTATAAAAAACAAAATTAAGAAAGATAATTTCTTAGTGTACTGCTTATATATATATATACACGTATCTGGGCTGGGTCTTTTACGAACGCATTAATGGCTGTCATTTGAGGAACTCACTAAGTAGCAAAGCACTGTGGTTGGAAGGTAAACTGTCTCTTTTTAATATGGAGCTATTCATCAAGTTAACAGGGATGATTGTCTCTAGATCCAGTGTTTTTACAGCATAGAGGCATAACATCCCATGCTTTATAGAGCTTTTCATGCCCTTTTTGCATAATTAATTTATTGCTGTGCTGCTCACATAAATTATTTCTTTATTTGCAGATTTAAAGCCTGTGGTATTAAACTGGTCTTACTTCATCTGAATCCTTAATTTTGAAACCCCCATTAAATTTGTATTCTCCTTGCATCTATTATACTGAAACTATGAATATCCAGAACTGGTAATAGAAACAGTGTGTGCAGCAGTCTGGCTTATTTTCTCTGCAGTGCCCTGTTTTGTTTTGTTTGTTTGTTTTAAACTGTTAGTCTTATTCTGTTGTTCAGTGGTTCCTGCAATACGGACTCTGAACAAGCTTCCTGTTCTGGTCAGCTATTAACACGTTGCAAATTTGCCTTTTTTTTTTTTTTTTTATTTGGGATAAGGAAGAAAATAGCAGTTAATTAAAGTAGAAAGAAACTTAGACGAAGAGTCTTAAAGCAAAGTGGCCACAGTTTAGCAGGGTCTGTGCTTGAGAATATGTGCTAGAGATGTCGTCTCTTTTTTTTTTTTTTTTGAATGTCTAAGAAGGAAAAAAAAAGTGGGATAGATTATGGTAGTTTTCAAATTTGTGTAAAATACATCTAGTAGTAACACATTTCTGTTGTTACACATTGCAATGGCTTTCAGCAACAAAATAAAAAAAAAGAAAATTCTGTAGACTGTTGTGTTTGTAAGGCCCCTCTCTGGATAATATGCTGTGTTAGTAAGGGCCTTTGTTTTCCTTCAATATAGCGATATTCCATCACCATTTCATTCTTATTTTACATCAAAATGCAGAGTTATGAAACTGAAGAAAACATTGCAATGCTTTCTGTTTGCCAGTAATTCTTGTCTTAATAAGTGTCTGTAATGATCTTTCTTTCCTGTCATGACACCTCCTAAGTTGGTGTTAGTATTAGGAGATCTCCACATTCCACATCGATGCAACAGCCTCCCAGCCAAATTCAAAAAACTGCTGGTTCCAGGAAAGATCCAACACATCCTCTGCACGGGAAACCTCTGCACCAAGGACACCTATGACTACCTCAAGACTCTGGCTGGGGATGTTCATGTTGTCAGAGGGGACTTTGATGAGGTAGTGCCCTCTCTTGATAATGACATATTTTATGCATCTTTTACGTAAAGGCAGCATTTGGGTTATTTGTAATTGAAGGAAAAGTGGGCAAACTGAGGCTATGTAGTACTAGGAGGACATGAAAAACGAACTTGGGAAAAGAGTTGGGGTTACAATCGATAGTGTGAATTGCACAGTAAGTTCTCATCTGTCATCAGAGTGAATAAAAGTGACTTGCACACTTGGCTACATCTAGGACTCCAGCAAACAGGACCTGCTGCTGTCAGGTCTTTGAAGTTCCTTGCATCCTACCACATTCTCCACGGTGTTCATAAAAGCAGCTTTGTAGCTCTCATTTTGTAGCAGTAGGGCCAATCACACTGAGTATTTCCATAAGCTTTCCCCCCTCTCTTCCTGGTATTGCGCAGAGTTGTTTTTAAATAGAGATCTCTACATTTAATCTGTGTTTGCTTTTTTTATTTTTAGAACCTGAATTATCCTGAACAGAAAGTTGTAACTGTTGGACAGTTCAAAATTGGGCTGATTCATGGCCATCAGGTTATTCCTTGGGGTGATATGGCTAGCCTGGCACTGCTACAAAGGCAGTTTGATGTGGACATCCTAATTTCAGGACATACACACAAATTTGAGGCATTTGAACATGAAAACAAGTTCTATATTAATCCAGGATCAGCTACAGGAGCCTATCATGCCTTAGAGAAGTAAGTAAAGTATGGGAAATATCTGTGGGGATTTTCTATTTGATAACAAAACTGAACTACAAAGCTCTTTATGAAGGTTAATGTTTATATTCTAAGTGTTGGGGTGAGGAAGTGTTGGTAGCACTTGCTAAATCTCCTTGACTGAAACAGATAAGAGTGAAATACTTAAAGCTTCAGATCTGATGTACTGTGCGTACAAAATTCATATCCATTTTTCTTAGAGTGATTTTTGTTAAGTAGTGGTGAAACACTGCTAAGGCGATTATATACACAGAATTCATATTGAATTTTTTCCCTCTTTCCAGCAACATCATTCCTTCATTTGTGCTGATGGATATCCAGGCTTCTACAGTAGTTACATATGTCTATCAACTAATTGGAGACGACGTGAAAGTAGAAAGAATTGAGTACAAAAAATCTTAAAAATGTTTTTGCTTGTCTGGTATTTTTACCATCTATTCTGAACTGCAAGTTACAATACTTGATTGCTAGTTTACAGAACTACACTTACTCGCTAACAGCTTAACAATGTAGCTTATTGGTAATAACTTTAAAATGACATTGTGTTTGCTTTTCTCTGTATGAATTGATTTGTAAAATATTCCATTAAAATAACTGTTTAAATACTGTTCCTTAATGTTGTAATAAACTCCACTTCATAGAAAAACTAAGCTTTATGAACTGTTGTTGGGGAAAAAAATGCAACAGTTGTAGTTGCTTTTAAAATGCCTGATGCTGTGGTTTGGTGACTTCTAAAGGATACTTGTAAATGGCTTGAACAAAAAGATTGAGGACTCTGGGGCCATGTTAATTTGCTTCAGAATCCAGTTGATATTTAAGTTTCTCAATTTAACATTCCCAATTAAGTTAAAGTAATAAAATAGATTGATAGATTCTGAAAATACTACAACTAAGTCATAACTTTCAGTAATAATTTCTCTGTAGAATGTTTAACTATAGTCTTTTATAATCAAAGCAGTTTCAAATACCACTATGCTTTAAGGAATGATGGTCTCATTAAATCTATAAACAGTGAAGAGGGGCTTTATTTATGGCTTATATCTGACACTACATGTATACACACTTTGCTGGGTGTACAGAGGTTTTTAAGTAATGTAATGCCACGTGATGCTCATGCTACTACTGAAGACTAAACCATTGGTTGTTCAGCAAGACTGGACCTTTTGGCTCTCCTATTCTCATGACTGTAGGGAACTGAATGTATTTTAACAGCTCCTAATTCTCATGACTGCTAACTTTCCAATAAAAATGGAGTTTTACCTTTTGTCTTCTACAGAAGAACATTTAGAATGGTGGCCTGTTTCCTTTGCCGATGTTGGCCTTTGTATTATGACTCTTTCCAGTGCAGTATCTGTGCAAAAAACTGTGCAGTATTTGTCATGAAGGTTTGAGTTAAAGTAATGATTTTCTATAGAACTTAAGGGATCAGCTAGAACCCTTGCTTCTGTGTCATAAGCTGACAAAATAACTTACTTTTACTTCTATTGAAAAGAAATCTGCTTTACCTTAGAAAAAGACCCAGCATTTCAGTCTGGTATCTCAGGAGCCTCTGGCTAACTGCTACTTTATGCAGTGAAACACATGCAATTGCGTTATCCTGCTGCAGACATACAGAAAGAACAAAGTTGAAAAGAAAACCTTGGCACACGTTATTCAAGGAAGGTTAGTGACTGAGTGGAGCATCACTTTACTGACAACTTCATAATTAAAAAAGGTTTATAGAATACTGCAAGGCCAAAATTGATAGGCAAGGCTGTTTATTTGTGCTCACTGTAGTTAAAATTACAATTTGTCTACAAAGTGTATTTTACATGAAGTACACCACTTACAGCTCTAAAAAAAGTTTATCACAATATGCGAGGTTTTGTTGGTGTGAATGAAATCCTAGAGTGATCCTGACAACATGGAGAAATATAGAGGTAAAGGAAATAAACTTTAATCCTTCCTAAAATCAAAGTGCTGAATATTCAACATCACTGTTGAATAGAAACAGAAAATTCTGCTGGAAATCTAAACTCTTTCAATGGGGACAGAGTATGGAAAAAAACCAGCCTAGAACAGTTAAAAAAGAAAGCTGTGGAAAACTCAGAGTAGCTTTTGGTAAAAGAGCACTGAGGTTTTTGTTTAATGTTCACTTGCCCAGTATGAGCATTCTCAATGCATGGCCCTCATCTTGCCAGTAGAGGGAGAAGAAAAGGGTAAAATCAAGACCTTATCGATGACAGTTCTAGTACACAGGTCTCCCCTGGTCCATTCAGATACATCTGGAAGGTAAAAAAAAAAAATATTAATAGGGCTTAGGAAAACGAAATATAATCTAAGACCTGTAACAGTTCCTGAAAGCATAAGGCTTAGCACGGCACAAATTTGGTTCAACTAAAATGAATTATTTGAATTAATAAAGGGTTATTTTATTATATACATTTTACTAAAATAAATTGGCTAGCAAGTATTTTTGCTAAAAGTTGCATGAAAGTCTTAGTTTAGAAAAAAAAGAGAAAATACTGCATGAGGTACAAAAGTGGTTTGCTTTACCTTCAGAAGATCAGATGATGGTATGTCCACCAGAGTAGGATTTCCACATTTCTCTTGATATTCTTGAATTAAGGCTGTTGCATCATCAATGCTGTAGGAGGCAAAAGTTCATCAACTTTGTCAACTTAAGCTCCCTAAAAAGCCAAGAATTTAGACTATATAAACTGAAGTAGAAAAACAAGGTAAGACCCACATTTTTGAAGTCAGGTAGGTCCTATCATTTCCCAGTAGAGGAAAACAAGCCATGACAAACCTAGCATTTAACCTGTGGCTGTCAGTAAAACCAATATATACTAGAATTTAAATGGTTATTTATTGGTTCCTGTCCCACTTTGACTGCAGGATAACTGGTAACAAAGTGACTTGCAATTTGGGGTCTGAAATGAAAGTTGGCAGCTGTGCACAATGAGCCTGAGTGCTGTGAGTCACGGGTAGATTGCTGATTGAGAACTGCCTTGCAGTAGGTTCAGTGGCAAGACCCTTTGTTTTATTTAAGTGGAACATAAAAGCCATTTATAACTCTTGAAAAACTTAGGAATTAGTGGGCTTGCCACTAAGTCTTGTATACAGGCTGTTCATTTATTTTTTCAGAACGTTCTTACTACTGAAGCTGTGACTCCATGATGCCACTAAGCTGAATTCATCTGAAGGTATGGTGAAGTGATTCAAAGCAAAAGTGTTTGCTTTTTCAGTCAGGTTACTTCTGCTATTTTAATTGTGTTTGATCTGCTTGCCAGTCCAGGCTCAACAAGCTGTTACTTTGGCGTGAATGACACTGTAAAACTCTATCCTAAGTATGCAAAGTACTGAGATGAGTTTTTTATTTTGTTTATTTATTTAACTTAGCAATGCTTTAAAAATTCTTGGAGACTAAGTACTAGGAAATCTCCATGACTTCAAATAAATGAAAATAAAGTAAAGGAGAGATTCAATTTCTGTAATTGCTATCAGTAATACATCACCTGTTTTACCTTTCATTAACTTACCAGTTCTTTTTGGCAAAATAATCTACCAGTTCTTTCATTCGGTGAGTGTTCATCAGTTGTTGCTTCAGCAGTGGAAAATACTTAGTTTTCAAAAATTTTTCGTATAGCTTCTCATTTATAATACTCTCCAAAACCAAAGATCTAATCTGTAGATTTAGTAATGGAAAAGTATTAATATTTTAAACATAAGAAATTTTACTTTTGAATGAAAAGAGCTCAGAGTTTTCTTATTGGACTCCCATAAAGCAGGATTTATTTTTTTTAATTTTTTTTTTAGTGCTGCAAAATGGCAGATTTTACGAAGTCTAATCTCAGATTCAGATAGGGGAATGAGTTAAGAACTTTGCCTTTAGGAAGGCAGCCCAAGGCAAGGGAGAGTGCAGTTTCATAACCCCTTTGGCCTTTTAGCTTAAAACATTTATTTAGAAAAATAAAGCAGTACTGCTGCAAACAATGCTGTCCTACAAATAGAGGCAGCCTTTAATACAGCACTGTGTACATATACAGGAAGTTTTTCAGTTGCACAACATTAATAAAAATGCAAAAATCCCTGCAAATGTTGCTATATTTTACAAGTTTGTATTATGTCAACTAATGCTTGGCAAGATCAGGGGAGAGAGAAAAAAAGGTTTTGTGTTCACTTACCTATCCAAAAAGCCTCTAAGTCAAAGACAAGTGAAGTAAATTTTATTTACCTGAGAAGCAAACGCTACTACTTCTCCAGTGTTCATGTGTTCATCTATTTGTTGCAGCACAGTTTCTGTGTTACATGTCGATAGGAAACCCTTGTGAAAATAAGTTAGAAAACATTAATATTCTGTGAATGATTAAAGTAGAAACTCTCCCTTCAGAGCAAGTATTTGATTTATTCAGGAACAATTAATATTTTGAAATTCTATGTACAAGCATGAAATTATCATACCAGGATCTGTGCTGTTTGAAAGAGTAGTACTCATTGCTTTTAACTCTCAAAGGGTATTTTGCTGTAGCTGTTATAGATTATTTTTTTTGACTCACTACCAGACTGAATGTCTTGCACTAATGCTGTAATTTGGGAAAAATCTTTCTGAGCTTAACTTTAATGACTGGAAGTTTAAGAATATAAGATGCCTTTACTAGTGCCAGTTTGCTCATGACAAATATGGGAACAGCCTATAATGCTTCATCTGGGAGAACAATGCAGAACATAAATTAATGGAAACAAATAGGAAAGAAAACTGTGGAGATATATAAATAGTGAAGATATGGCTTTAAGGCAAAAGGTTTACATCACAACTATCAAGCATCTTTCTAAGTCAGGAGCTTTCAACACTTTTCTGAAGTAGGATTTGGTACTTTTCTTACAATCTGCTGTGAAACTAGCCCACTGCTAGCTTCTTAGCAATTATGTATGTTATCATCAACTTCACACTGCTCTAGCAGGTATATAGCTATGGCTTGGGTTTTGTTGGGGTTTTTTTCATTGGTTTTATGGGTGGGATCCCATAAGATAACCTAAAATTCACAAAAGGCAAAGTCGTATGACAAAGCTGCTGAGGATGACTTGAAGCTATCTGGTTTTGCTTCTTAAAAAAAGAAAAAAAGGAAGCGTTCACATGATCCCTCTCAGAAGGGCAAATTCAGAGCAAAAGTCTTTGCGAGTGGGAAATGCCAAGCAGCTGTCAGCAGTGACATATTTAAATAAGCTGGAATTATAAGTTACCATCTTTTACAGCCTCTCTTGAACATAACATGCTTAACATGTCCCTTGCACAGATAGAACACAACACTTATTATTTACCTGAATTTGCTGCTCTCGCTTCTCAGGCTGAGGAATCAGCAGCAGGCACCCCAAAGCAAAAGCTGGAAGGTCCAGCTGTGCATATTGTTTAGCTATTCCGATGACATCCAAGTCAGCCAGCACAGGACACCTTCAGAAGAAGATTATGAGTGAAGTTCTCTGCTATGATATGTAGAACTGAATGGCTTAGTACTGTCAACAAAACTGGCGGTTTTTAAGCCAGATAGAACAATACATTTTTACCTCATCTTATTTTCAGAAACTGCCAAGCTATGCGAATTTTAAGTTTCACAAAGTACAAATGCACGGCGATTTTCTAGCTTGAAAAAAACCCCAAACAAACAC